GTACAAGTAAGACAAGATCAGCTTTGCAAAGGCCTGATGAAACATGAAATTGAAGTGTCACACAAGGGCAAGGATTTCATGTAGAGATGCGTGCAGAAGATTCTTCGACATGCTCAAGTACCCTTGGATACATGTAGTGATATGCCAGCACACAGCAGACAGCCAGGACTCCTAGGTTCTCTCTCACCTCTGCCATCAACTTTTATATAGAGTAGATCGTTTTGTCAGTGTAATTTTTCTTGTATGTATGTATTTTCTTGTATGGTCTGACTCGCCTCTATGAAGTAAAACAGTGACTGGCAATGGTGTGTCTACCAACAGGCACATCCCTCCACCCATTAAGGTTAGCCCAAAGTGCACATTCTCCAGAGCGATCCATTGTGTTGCCAAGTGTGATTGTTCATCGCTCATCCCTGCCTACAGGGAAATACTTCGTAGGCCCTTTAAGAAGAATACAACGACAGATTCTCTGCCTCCTGAATACCTTGGCCTCTAAGCACACGTCTGACAGAACCACACCAAGGGCACAGAACAGACTCACATGATGAGCGTGTGAACTGCTGGAGAATAAGGAAAAGTAGTAGGATTTCCTTGTTTGCACAGATGATAAGAGAGAAACCTGTAACACCAATCTTTTTCTCCCTTCATCTTTGGCGAGTCGTTTTCCCACAATTTGATGCTCACAAACAGCTATGTGCTTTTAGATTGGGCTGACTTGGATCCCAGAGGCTGCTCAAATTATAACTACTGCAATAAAGCAATATTCATACACACACATATACATACATACATTTAAAAAGCGTATTTTTGTCTGCAAAGGCTAAATGCTGAGGGCTATTTGGCTGGATTCCTTTACATTCATCTATTTCAGTCAGAGCGAAGTACCTGAAAACCATTTATTCAACATGATGTTTCTTTCTGACACAAACCATATCAGAGTTAATGCAATAGTTGGATTTGTGCTCAGCAAACTAGCAGAACAAAAGTGCAGGGACCCTCCCGGTAACTTTATTGTCCTAGGTTCCCAGTACAAGAAACAGTATAGAATTCTAGATTTAGGTAAAGAAATCATTTCGCAATATCTTAGCTCAGTAGATGTATCCTATCATTATTTAGTGGCATGCATAGCACAGAAATACGTTAAACTGTCTTACCAGCTCAAAGGAAACTTCACTTTTCACACTGCTTCTGTCCCTTGATAGCTTTGGCTGTGCGGTTTGATGATCAGGCAGTAGCAGCAGTAGCATAATAAAGCAGAAGTTACTGTGCTTGATTTTAAAGATAATCTCAAGAACCAATGAAAACCTGCTCAGATTATCAGATTGAGTTAAGTAGCTGCATCTGCAGTTACTCATTAGTGATGGAGAAACTGAGGAATTTCTGTTAAAGGGTTAACATTTAAAAGGCCAAGTAATTTGCTGAATATAAAAGTACCTGCTTGCAATATTTATATAAAAAAAAAGGCCAACAGAAGAGCTCTTTAAGCACCCAAAACCATTTCCTAGCCCTGTCTGGATGTGAGGCAAGACCACTCCCATCCAAGGCCTCTGTACAACTGCGCTCATATGCCTGAGGCATCCATGAGCTGGCCTGTCCTGTATTTCTTCCACTGCCTATTGCTGCTCAAAGGGCCAAAGGCAAACAAGCATTTCAGTGCTTCTAAATCCTAGAGTGTATAAGGAACAGATCTTTCCTTACCCAGCTGCAATGCTGCAGTGGTTGTGTTGCAGTCAGGATCCATCAAGTCCATCAGGTACCTGTGCCAGAGAAGGGGAAAGGAGAAGCAGGCAAAGCACAGACTGAGTAACAGCCTGTCAGTATTAACGGCCAAGAAAGGAAGGCAGGGGCTGTGCAGAAAGGGGGACAGACGCTTCCAAATTGGTGCTACAGGTTGAGTTACGGTGCTTCTCCCAGTACCCGCTTTTCAGCATTCCCCATCCAGTAAGACTCCTGCCAACTCCCATGAGGCCCCATGGTTACATTTAGATAATGTATATTACACTTTTTATTGTTACAACAGTCCTGAACTAGGGCAGAAACCGAACGCCCCTAAAACACAAGCAGCCTTCAGAGCATCATGTAAGCAAATAACTGCTTGCAGTTCACCCTGCTGCAGCAGAAAACATCTTGTCTCCTGTAGAGACAAACTGTATCCTTCCTGCCTACTGCTGCAGGTCACCATAAAGACGCAATGGCCGTGTAAGACCCACACCTTTTATAATATTCTGCCTACAGGGCAGACAGAAAAAGATCTTTACAAGAGCTCAGCAGCAGTTCAGTTCAAATGGTAAAACAAAGCTTTCTCCTCAGTTTCCTTTCACGTTACTGTTCCAAACTACAGCGCAGTGTATGCTACATGAACATCACAGCTCTCTGCAAGTTGCCTTTTTTCATACTTCCCCCATGCCCCAAATGCCAGCCAGCCCAGGCCATTAACTGAACTCCCGTCCCCAGTTGTTGCGAATACTGGGCAAAGCGAGCAGAGCACAGCCACCTAAAGGCTTTGTCTACATGGGCGGTGCTCCTGGCATCTTCTTCCTACCTCACCCCACTGCTCAGTGCATGATCAGCCTCACCTCTGCAAGGTAGGCTTAGGTTAGATGGCCCGGTGAGCTGAGCGCGGCAGGAGCGGCTGAGCAGACTGCCCTGCAGCAGAGAGCTTAGGCTGCAGGTTGCAGCTGTTGGTTTAAGCACGCCTGCTGGGCCAAGCAGCGAAACAGCAACTGCTTTTACTCCCTGTGCTCCACGCTGCTGCTGAGGAATCTGCCACCGTGTGTTTTTGAGGACACAGAAGAGTGGAGCGAGACCTTTTAGAGACAGCTTGTTTGAGAGCAGGGGAGGCCTCCCCAGAAGCCACAGACAGGGGCTTGGACTGCCACCAACGGCCCTAGCATGCCTGGAGAAACAGTCTTTCCAAATTAGATACTGCTTGGTCAGGGACATTTGTGGTCTGCTGCTAAAAGCCATGGGAAAAAAGCCCCACCAGCAACCCTTCCGCATCCACAATGTCAACAACTCATTGGTCAAAAGCTGAATTGTTACAGCTTGCTTCAAAGGGAACACTCTGCCCTACTTACACCATGTATCAAAGCAAGTTCTTCTCTGCTCATGAAGTCTGCCTTCTAGGGTGATTAGAGGCAACTTCTAGCCCAACATAGCTCCAAACCACCATAACCTACCATATATGCAGCTAGATAGCGTTGCAATAACAGAAACAGCTCCTTCAGCAGTTCTGGGGCTGGTGATACAGAAACAAGGAGCGCACAGAACTAAGGGGCCCAAGGAAAGATAGGCAAGTTCCTCCTCTTCCCCTAAGCAGCCTGGGGTCAGATACCACAATGTAGTTTCTGAAATGCAAATAGCTGCAAGATGAAGCAGCAGAAGCCTGTGCTACAGACCACCAGAGGTGCTTCTGCTGAGTACACATTTGCGTAGACGTAAGTGCAGTGTGAGCAGACCGCGTAGGCCAGGGCAGGGTCAGCTCATCAGTAAGGAAGTGCAGTCAGCTCAATCCTCCGCTGCCTCATGAAGCGCATGCAAGGTACTTGCTGCACAGCAGGAAGGACTCGTACCCATGCTAAGAGAGTATCTTCCCACAAGAAAAATGAAAAATAAGGAGAGAAGGAACCAAAAAAACCCCACCATCTTGGAGCAGTGCCCAGGAAGCCCCTAAGCTAGAGGTATACTGGGGGAGTAACAACAACATGGGCAAAGCTAAGCCCAGCAGGTTCAAAATCACAACTGCCATGGTCTCTAATATGTTGACTAATCAAACCAGGGATGTGGATGCATAGAAAAACTCTCCCAGCACTCACCTGTGAAAGGAACAGCTTCTCTTCATTACAGTGCTCCCTCTTGTTTAGGGAGCTCTGGGGTTGGCTAAAGTCTTGGGTGAGAGATGGGGGAGAGGGAAGAGTTTATTGGTATCACAGCAACAACACTGGAGACATACACCATTCACCACAAAGCTTCTCTCAGTATGAGATCTTCTGGACTCAAGCAGCCCATGGGTCAGGAGCACTATGCCTATAGAAGATTCATTCAGTATCAGTATTACAGTAACTTTTAAAGACAACTGTCTTAGACAAAACAGAGATACAGAGATGTCAGGCAGAAATATATTTACAGTTACAGTGCAAATAGCAGTTTCATGGTTGGCTTTATTCACTAGCAGAGACTGCTCAAAATCTGGGCTACTGACCTGTTGACTGCAGCAGACCAGGTCCAAGGCAGAAGATGGAGCTGCAGGCACATCCAGGTAGGGCAACGCTTCTGCAAGTTCTGCACAGTTCTAAAAGCTGCTCAATGTTTCAGTTAATGTGCTTGGGAAATGCTGGGAGAGATGCTGCTGCGGCAGAAGAGCACAGTAGCAAGAGTTTGTCTGGAATCACATGTCTTGAAGACTTTTCATTTGCAGACTCTACCTGGAAAGGCAAAGTCTTTCTGGAGCCTGAGTTGTGTTTGCTCTCTCGGCCACACAGTTCTGTGATGATTATATGAGAACTGGGTTTGATCATGCCCCATGGTCAGGGCTGGGACCCTCCATAATTAACTAGTGATTAGAGCTGGGTGTAAAGAGCTAAAGATATTAGTAGGAAAAGTAATACCACCTGTGTTGTTGGGAAAGGGTAGGGGAACTTTAATGTCACAAACATGCTTGGCATGGGTTATGCTTCTAAGATTCCATCTACATCCAAACTCTCAAGTCATGTGATAACACCAGGGAAAGTAATTTAAAGTTTTGTTGTACCCCTTACAAGATCAGTGCCAAAAACAATTGCACATCCACGTAAGCCAAGAGGTAATTTTCAAGGTACAGTTGCTTTTTCTGCCATTATAAAGGGGGCTGAGCGTGGGGGAATAAAAATAATAAAAACCAATAATGTAAAGTTTGAGACATGGACAGAATAAGGGGCAGTAGAGAGAGGCAGGTGTATTTCTGTGGACTGGGCAGTTTTCAGCAGCATGCAACCCAGCTTACATGAATCAAACTTTGCTTCTCTTCCGAATTTTTCTAAGACTTTGCTCCTGGCACAGCACGGAAAAGGCCAAACACTCTGCAAGGCAACATCAAGTCCTTAGTTTGTCTGTGTCCCATTGACAGGGCTGTCAGAGCGACAGGAGACCCACTGCTTGACGTAGCTCCTTGGAAAGTCCTCCCCCTCCTGCTCAAGAGGGGTGGAACCACAGTCAGTCTGGTTGTTTTGCTCAAATTCACAGTCAACTGGACTCCCACAGTCCGAGTCCACAAAGCCACTGTCAATAGTGTCCAAATCTACGCAGATCACAGGGTAACTGTCACCAGGCCTTGCAATGTGAGGGAAGAAGTCACAGGAGCCTTCACTGTAGGAAACACTTTCACCGTCAGGAGAAGGGAGAGATCCTGGATTTTCCAAATCCCACTGATTAGGCTGCAAGCAAAGGGCTTCTAGGATGCTCCCCATCCTTCCTTCCACAGTCCTTTCTACTTGCTGGTGGGCTGGGACATTTGTACTCTGCAGGTGGTCTGTAGACACAGAGCCTGAAGCAAGTATTTTGTCTTGCATGCTCAGGTCAACCAGACGCAAGTCACTGGGTATCTTCCTGTCTTCATCATCAACATTAACCTTGGGGTAACCGGTTTCTCCAGCATTGCTGTCTCCCTCGCTCCTATGCTCATGTCCCCTGTACACACGGTTGCAGTTGCATTGGCAATTACAAGGCGTGAATTCATCAGCCACAGTCACAGTGTCAATGGACAAATGCCCATATGACTGGTCCTGAGTGCCACTAGACAGCAGGGACTGGCCATCCTGACCCGGGGCAGTCAGGCACGACGCACAGGGCTTGCAAGGCAGATCTTTTCTCATCTCGTGCAGCTCCTCCCGTGAGGTGCTGTTGGAATTCCGCATGGTGTAAACTTCTAGGACTTCTGGAAGGACTATCCCCCATTCAAAGAAATCAAAAGTGATTTTTGAATGGGGTGCACCAACCCACTTCTGCACAAAAGGACATACAGGGATGAAAGAGAGGTTAGTGTCATCAGGTTTGAGGTTCTACAGAAGTTACCAAAGTTCTTACAGCTTTAGAGGCAAAGTCAAATTCTAAAAATCCCTGACCCCTCAAAACGAGCAGGGTATGAGCTGCTGCTGTCACCTCACACAGGCAGCTGCAGGTGAGCTGACTCAACTGATTGAAAATAATTAGCTCTGAGAGGTTTGTGTGGCTTCGCAGTTTTCTCCATGCCGCAGAGAGGCATTCCTCCGTGCACCAGCCAGAGGTCCCGAGCCACCACACCTCCTCTGCCCTCTTGTCCTGGACACTGCTTCTCTCAGGAAGGACGGTCAGCTTCCCACCAGGTGTACTGCACTGGCACCCAGCACACACAGCCCTGCTTTGGCACTTCCCTCACCCAAGTTCCCTGGGAAGGGGGTCAAGGTAAGGCTGCTCCCCATCTTCTGTCTGCAACCATGCCCCAGACCAGCCTTTTCTCCCACAGTGACAAGAAGGAAGCAGGGATAGGCAGGGGATGGAGTCCTCAAAGAGCTGTAACCACTGCCTCTGCAGATTACACTTACTGAGATGATTAGGGAGTGCCACACACTGAATCTTGCCCTTCTGTATCACCATTAGTATTACCTGCTGCCCTGTACTACCTCTAGGTCACAAGCCCCTTGCATTTAGTCACATTTGCGAGTAAAGGCACCTCTGGGTTTCTCTAATCTAAGAATAAAGTAAAAGTGTCTGTTCTTTTTAAAGAAGTCATTGAATCAGACACTTGGATCACAACAAGCTTTAGGCACATGCCACTAATAAATGCCAGTAAGTCCCACTAGAGGATTCTGCAGTCCAGAGGCTGGGCTCAGCACAGACTCAAGACTTGGTTCTGCTCCCTGAGACTTGCCTAATGGCTGAGCTGTGTCAAGGCCTCCTAAGTGCACCACCTTCTGCGGTGTTTAACATTGGTAACAGCACTGGGCTTCATGAACACTGGGAAGGCTTCTGACAGAGTGCTGCATGAGAGCTGTGTGTTGCCCCAGCTGTCAGACTGCCTTAATCCTCTCAGCCTCCTGCACAAACTGCACTCAGCGTAACTAGACACGAGCAAAGAATTTGGGAAGAGAACATCTTCACGCAGCCTATTACCCTCTGAGACAGAGCATGGAAAAGTCTTCATCACAGCAGGAAGCACCAAGTCTAGTTTAATTTATTTTTAACCTAAGCTATGAAGACCTTATTATTAAAACTGTAATGGACAGGAAGGCACCTGAGGTGCAAAAGGCTATTTGAAGAAAGAGCAGGAAATCCCTTTGCAAAATTCCTGCCCAATATCATCTTGTGTACACACAAGAGTGAACAATGTTTCTCTGCTTTCCCTTCTCTTTTTAGGTCTTAACTTTTCCTATAACATTTTCACTGCCTCCGACCCAGTCCAGGACTGTTGTCTGCAGAGCATTACTACTGTAATTTGCTGATCCTCATGCACAGACATAACCTAACCACTTGCTCTGGGACAGGTAGGATGCAGCTGAACAAGCCCTGCATCACCTGGTTTCTTGCCAGCTGAAAGGGATGAGTCTGTTCACATATTGGTGATGCCACCACATCCTCTGACAGCCCCTGCCTGTGCACCTTGTGCTGTGGCTGTGGGGGCAGCTGCTGCTTTCATCTGCACCTTTAAGAAGTAACTCAGCTTTAGCAGCTGAGGCTCATTCCCTTCTGAACAGCACAACTAGCAACTAGCACAAATGTAATCCCACAGAACAGAGAACCCCATATGGCTTCAACCCGAGAGGAGCATGGCTCCTGGCACGCAGGGTGCTTCCACTTCCACTGTGAGCACCAGCCAGCCTGTGACACTCAGGAATTCCCCGAGCCCTCCTGGTCTTGGATCCTTTCCCTAAGAGCAACCATTGCCACTTGCCTCACAAAAGGATGCAAGTACCCCTCTGGTGCAGATATGGGAAACCATAATAAGGCTGAAAGAGGAAGGCAGGAAGGAAGTGAGACAGTCAGTGCCAGCTTCAGCTTGAATGGCAACCCTCCAAGATTACTTGCTAAACCTAACTGCAAACATCAGCCATACGGCAGTGGGAAAGTACATGAAGATCATTAGGGCTCAGCTGGTGTCCCTTTCCCAGAGGGTCTAATAAAAAGCAGAAACAAAAAGCAGACACTGAAGTGTCTCAGATCAGTGCTGCTTTAACAACAGGAACTTGTTCAGAAAGAGGCAGTGAAGTCTGCACTGACATGCCAGGAGTTTACAGTTTGATAATGGCATTGTGAGCTGCTGTTCAGCTTAATATAACCATTATTTATGGATGCTCAGTGTTTCTAGTTTTGTAGCCTAAGAATTCCAGCAAACTCTGTAGTCTTTGCAAACCACTTTGCCACATTAGCAAGTTTGGTTGATGTTAAATAGGAAGAGAATTTGGAAAGGCCAGGCAAGGGTACTCAAAGACACTGCCTTCACGGGGAGGCAGCTGCACTGCACTATCACACGGCAGTTATTTGCCCTCAAAGCTCTAGACACCTTCCCAGGACGATATGCAGAGCTACTGTCTGTACGAGTGACTCTTCAGAGAGAACTACAAGTCTTAATGTTGAGCTCATGTCACTGCAGAGGCTGGAGTAAGAGATGGCTCTACAATGAAGTCTGCTCCATGGCCTTGATGCAGCATGGGACTGGAGCTTTGGAAAAATCCCAGTTACTGTCCTGGTATCCCTTTGTCCACTCCTTTCAGGTTTCCAGGCTTCTCAGATCACATATGAGCTCAGCTCACCCACTGAAACCTACAGGGAATAAGCAGCACAGATGTGTCATAAAGGCCTTCATGGCACAGAGTAGACACTGGAGCTCTGGTCCTTGTATCTGGAGCTGTTTGGTATTCCCTTGAGATAGATTCCACCTCTCACTGCCCTAATAAGAATCCCTTGTCCAGGATAGCACGATGGGATTTTTAGTTTAATTTTGTCATGTGCTCCATTTGCTTGTGTAGCCCATTTATACCTTGAAATCTCCATTATGCACCAAGTAAAGAGGTTTGAAAAAGGGAGCAGGGTCTGGGATGCAAGCCATCTTCTTCCACAAGCTGGAAGAGAAAAGAGAAAGGCTTTGGGGTTAAGCACACATTACAGGTGCAAAGCAAGGCATTTCCAGGTCCAGTTCAGGCAGCTGCAATCACCTCCCCAGGCTCACTGGCCTCCCAAGTTAGCAGGCTGCTGAGGATCCAAGGATGTCTTGTGCTATCAGAGCCATCTAATGGCCTTTCTTGTGGGCCTCACAGGAGGTGGGGCCTCAGCCCTCAAGACTTGTACACAATATTCACGCTAAGGAAAGAGGTTTTTCTTTCCTCCCTGGAAAAGCACAAGCTGCTGGAAATTAATTTTCTCCTCAGGCTGCCCCTGGTCTGCACCTCCAGGCCAGAACTCTGCCCTGTGCACTGCTTCTGTGGACAGGGGCTGTGCCAGCCCTGTTGTGCAGCAGCCCAGCACTGTTCCTGCTGTGCTGCAGGCACCCCATCCCTCTGCAATGGCACCTGACTCTCCAAAAAGTAGCGAGCCCCCAGCCAGCACTGAGCAGCCTGTGTCAGCTCTGCAAGGGGACACGCCAGCCATGGCTGCTGCTCCCTTCTGGCAAATGCAGAGCACAGACAAGACCAGGAGAACAGCCCAGGAGGCTGGGTAGCCCCTGCTCATCCCCATGTGCCATTGTCTTGTCCCAGCCAGCTGAATGGCAGCAAAGCCCTAAGGAAAGCAAGGTGCTCTTGGCAGTACGTCAGCTGGAGACCACACTTTGCTGTCTGTGCATGGATACACAAGATGCAAAGAAGGCTGCATGTGAATAACCCACCTTTAGCAAGACAGAACTGTAGTATTTACTTCAGCTTCCTGAAGCATTCTTACCTCTGCTGTTTGGCCAGAAAGGTTGTGATTGAGGCAGTGATTGCCACGACACCACCCAACAGCAGCAGCCATCCCATGCCTGTTGTCTGTGTCACTGCTGGAGAAAGAGACAGGACCATTCAGGCTCACCTTGCATTTTTAGCCTGGTCAAAAAGCAAGAGACGGTGAGGACACACCCTCAGCTTCTGCCCCAGACTTTCTCTTAGGGACACTAGGCTTTGCAGGACAGTGAGAAGGTCAGTATAGACAGTACATATCAGCCCAGGCCTGGGGTTCATGTACTCAGTAAGCAAGCCAAACATGCCTGTCTTTACTAGACTATTTGTTCTAATTAATTAGATTTGATTAGAGCTTTGGAAGTATTCTCTGCCATTAGGTTGGAAGGGCAAGGAGAGCAGGTTGTGTGTACCGGCAGGGCCAGTTGTCAATGTCAGCGGATGACTCCATTCACTCCAAAATCCATGGTAACTAGTGCCTTCTCGGGGTCTGGCTCTCACTTGGAACTCGTACTCAGTGTTTGCCTGGAGTTCCCATGGCAAAATTACCAGTGTCCTTTTATCTTCATGAACAGCTTTAGTCTTCCAAGTCTGTGAATGACGAAATACCAAACACTGAGGGCTGGAGTGACTGCTCCTACCTTACCCTCATTGCTGCCCAGCGAGGAGCCCTGCAAAGTCATTTCCTCTGCTCTCATGTTTCTGCAAGGCTGTGCTCTGGGTGGGCAGCAGCTGCATGGGGCCCTCAGGGATCCTTCCATGCAGGACAGCATGAGAAGTAAATGAACTATCAGCCTTCCCCACAGGACCTAGTACTTCCTAAACAGCTTCTCAATTCTTTTTTCAGTTTCACCTGTTTTCAGTCCAGGCAAGCAAAGAGACACCTTTTCCAAACCATAAAAACTCTTTCTCCCCACCAGTGCTTCTGTCCTGGTTGTGAGGGCCCCCTCTTTGCTACTACATCCTACTTGATGGTAAACTGACATCTCACTCACCTCCCAGGTGTCGGTCCTTCTCTTGTAACGCAGCTGATATTCCAGCTCCTCATTCAAAAAGTAGAAAGGAAAGTTCTGGTAGATGGTTTCCCAAGAAATGTTGTAACCCTCTGAGAACACAGCAGTCAGATTGAATGGAGGCTGTGGTTTGACTGAAAGACAGCATGGTGTTACCCTTCCCAACATCACTGCAGACAAGAGGTGGCCCAGCATGGTATCAGCAATGCAGAGTGAGCAGGGAGCAGAAGTGCCTTGGCAGGGTGGGTCCCCCCTCCACAGGACAACATCCACAACATTGCTGCCTCTCAGGCTGAGCCACCCTGCACAGAACCTCAGCACATTTCTCTGAACATGCCTTCTGCCTGTCTCTGAACCTCCACATCACCTAAGGAGCAGGAGAAGACAGCACAAGGGGCTAATACCTGCTGGGAAACATACAGAGTACAGCACCTTGTTCTGCCATGGCATAGGAGGATTCTGTGCAGTCATGGTCACTTGCACAGCTACAGAAATACCCCTCAGTGTAACACAGACGTCAGAAAAAGCTGATGATAGTGGACACTGTGTAAATCCAGTGCAAATCCCTGTGTTGTAAGTGCCTAAAAGGCAAGCTCCTGTATCCCCTGCAGGCTGTTTTCGTGTGTCCAAAAGCAGTAATGCACAAACTCCAGCACTAGGTCTACAGGGTCTATCACTGAGCTATGATGCCTTTGTATGAGGACATCTAGGAGACAGGCAAAGCATGACGATAATCTGTCAGTGGAGGCAAGAGGCTTTCCTGAAATGTTGTGGTGTTTTTTAAAGAGATGATACTTCTCAAATAAAGTTTAATTTGAGAAGAATCCAAGCAGATGAATCCTTATTCACATGGCCACACGGGGCCTGTCTCCTGGCTAACCACCCCTTCTCGTCACAGCTTGCTGCACAACTCGGAACACACCAGCATTCTAAATCAACTATCTGGCTGCACTCAAACCTCCTGTCACATGGAAGAGATGGTTTGGAGTTGCCCCAGAAAGAACTGGCACATCCATTATGTCTGGGACACTTTGTGCGACCCACAATGTCGTGTTGGTTCAGGTATCCACTGCAAGAGCCTTCTGGGGCTCCTGTGAGGACATCTGTGGCATCTGCAATTAAAATTTGCAATTTGTGGCATTTGCAGTTAAATTCCTCCTGCCCTTCAGATTGTAGCCAAGAACAAACACCTGCGTAGTCTACGTATGAGACTGGTCTAAGGTAGAAATGTATTACCTCTTGCTTCACGGGGAGAAGAGATTTCCCCACAAAAAGGCTGGGACTAAGCCAGCTCTAAGCTGTAGTTTACAGCAAGAGCACAGTGCTGCGTAGATGAGTGCACACCAAACACAACCCCCAGCACCGCCTGCCATGCTCACTCCTTGCCCACACTATCTAGGAGACAGATACAAGGTCAGACAGTATATATCAAATCCACCATTTTTCTACTTACTGTTCTCAGACATATAAAAGTCTTTGGAAATCACAGGCTGCTGATCAGCTGTCTCTGTAACATCCACCTGGACCCTGGTATCTGCCAGGAGTTCAGTCATATCCACAGTACACACGTACTCTGTGTGACTGGTGTTCCTGGACGATTGCAGGAGACTGCAGGCAGCCACAGTGTTTTCTGGAGCTTCCTCGGAAACCCTAAAAACCACCAAACAAATCAAACAAGCCCACATCTACCACATGCTGTAGTTTGACTAAAGCACCAGGCGTAGAAATGATGAGGAAAAAAAAAGGCAACATGTTCAAATACAAATGTATCTTTGAACTTTGACAGTTGTTGTGTCTGTCTGTTGTCCGTCCATCCCCCCACCTTCTCTTTGCTCAGCTTAGGATCTGTGAGAGCAGTAGGAAAGTGTTTGTGGAAAGAAAAGGTGCTGACCAGAGCTGCACAGCCCAGGACTGCACCCACTTCCTTGCTGGGGCAGAGCAGCAGCCACATGAGGCTTGGACAAACTGTGGAGGCCCTGCCAGAACACAGGAGTGAAAGTTCTTTGTCAACAGCAGCAAAAGGCAAGGTATTCCCAGGGTAGGAAAGAAAACAATGCCAAGGAAGCCAGAGTCAGTGTAGCAGCCAGCGGCAAGCAGAGCAGTCAGTGGAAACAGGAACCAGGGATCCTTTGTCAAGGGAGATGTCAGTTGATAACTGGAGTGTGAAGTACCGAGTAAAAACGAGCATGGCAGCAAGAACAAGACTTCTACCTAACAAAGGGATCAGAAGGACACCACTGTGCTATGGCCATGTTAGAAGTTCCTGCTAACTTCACTTTACTCATCCTACTGAGACGTACCATGTCGCAGTGAGGTTATATGAACTGGCACCCAAGTCATTCCTCAGGACACAGGACAGCGTCTGTACATAGTCCACAAAACAAGTGAGGTTTTTACAACACGTAGCTGTAGGTTTGGGAAGAGGAAACACAATATCAGCTTCCATGGTGAAGCAAGCGGAACGCTTTATCAATACACAGGGCCCTCAGGGTTCCCACTCAACCTGAAGGTAACAGATCACTCTGTGAGCGCCCCCCCCCCTCGACGTCTCCAGTCCTGGAGCGCAAGATGTGTTCCGCCTCTAGAGGGAAGCGAGTCACTGACAGCAAGATAAGCGTCCAAAAAAATCTCTTCAAAACGCAGAGGCAGCAGATGGCACGGCAGCGTGCAGGAAACGCTCACTGAGCTGAACTGCCGAAATTACCTCTGTCCCCTCTTACACAGTCACTATAGCAGAGCCACGTACTATTTCTGCAAGAGCCCTGGCTCGTGCAGCACGGGGCATGATTACCCCATCAGGAACAGCAGCATATTGAAACAATTTTAATGATACCACTTCCTAAACCGAGTTCTGTTCTTTGCTGGTTTCATTCATGGCACGGACAGGGCATTTTGCACATTTTAGAAAGCGGTATTTTAGTAATTCTTCTTTACCATGCTCTCTGCTTACTATTTTTCTGTACCTTGCTATCTATCTGTAGCATCATTGCTTTTCACGTCCAGCTCCAGGGGCTCGGAATATGTTTTTAATGGAATTTTGAAAAAAAACCAACCCCTGCAAATTTGTAGTTACTAGAACTTCCATAAATCATTCTGACACTAAAGTGACAAGCACAGTGCATTAACCACGTAAACTGAAACCGACTTCTAAAGAGAACTGGAGAGGAAATTGTAGATTTTATGCTGGTCATTAAGAAAATCAGCTAATTTGTAAGTGTTCACAAAGCAGCTTTTATGCTCTTCTAATTGTTCTGCAGGAGCTCTGCTCATGTATCAGTATCTGGAATGTGCTGTACAACAGCACTGCTGTTCTGTGCATAACACACTTATCTCCCTGGGTTTCATGCAGAGCAGATGGCAGCACAGTGAGAAATGTCTGCATTGGTGAGTCCTCTCCTGACAGCATCTTGGACTTACAAGAGACACTGCTACTACGCTAGTGAGGAAAGGCCTGTAGGAGATGCTGGTGCAAACCATGCCTACTAGAGTGACAACTCATCTCTTACATCTACAGTATTACCCCTTTGCGATGGGAATAAAATTGTCATCATCCAGGGGAAGATGTCAAGGTTGTTACATCCATGTAACGTGGTCCCCCGCTGCTGTCAGGACTGCCCCCAGCCCGATGGGAATCGTGCCACTTCACAGCCCTCAGGCACCCAAGTCCTCTAATGCTTCGCCTCCCTTTGTCATTCTGACGCTTGCTTGCCTGCCTCCTCCCTTCCCCTGTTGAACAAGCTTTGTGTTCAGAAGGGTTGTTTGCATACGATGAAAGCAGGCCTACATGATATGCTTAACAACCACAATGCCTGATTTTCAAGAGAATGCTGGAAGCAAAGAACAACCATTAATGTGGAATGCAGGCAACAAGGGCTCAGAAACACCATTCTGCCCTCCAGATCGCATGACAGCCCTTCAAAACAAGTTGTCTCTGCATTTATAATCACGATGCACAACAGGCATATCCAGTGAAGGTGCAGCCTAATTCTAGGCCAGAGTAAGTTCAAAGGAAAACAAAGTCCAACTTTTCCCACTAACGTCGCTCATCACAGACATTTCTTCCTAGTCCTGCTGGATCAGAGCACACGCTGCTCTCCCTGCATGAGCTCTAGGCAGCACTCGCCTTTGGGTACCAGACACCCCCAGCCCCCAAAGAGTCAGGACGGTGACTCAAGAAATGTGGGGACGCCTGGGACGGCCTGGCCCAAGGATGTACGTGCACTTTACGAAACTGTAAATTATTCAAACTGTGTGGCTGTCACTTTGTTTCATTTTAACTTTTTAATTTCACACTGACTTCAGAATTTTGTTCTAAAATTTTCATTAAGTTTAACTTGTCATCGTGGGCCCTGAGTAGGCTCTTCCAAGGGCTCTGGTACAAACAGTTTGTTCCAGAGTCCTGAACAACACACTTGTTCTTCCTTAGCCTAAACTTCACTCTCCTACAAACACAGGGTTATAACCCCTTGCTTTCCTTTAGAGAGTGCAGCAAGTATTAATAATCTCGTAAGATTGCTAGTTAGTATTCTTCTATGCTATTATGTTCATCAGCCAAATGGACTATTATGCCTAGGTAGCTGGTAAGCTGCAAGTGTACCTTTGGGCAAGAATCTGTTAACAGAATTAAGAAGACGACAGTTTTTTACTGTGAAGGAAATGATTAAGTGTCCCAAACCCAGTTAGATCTAGGATGAATTATCCATCCTTGATAGCATCAGAAACAAAAATCAAATATTTTTAATACAAAAATCTAGTTTGGTCCAAACTGAAATTATTCCAGGATAATTCCCTGGCTTGTGTTACACAAAATTCAGATCAGACATCACAATGGTCCTGTATGGGAGGAAGATAAACCTCAGAATTCATCTTTTCTGCTAATTTAGGTTTGGAGGAGGTCCACTGCTTTGCCTAGAAGCAGCCTGTAAATGCTAAACTCGTGCCTGCTCCCGCAGACGCTGCTGTAGCTGCCTTTTCCTGCCCAGCTGACCTGTTCAGAAAGTCAGCTCTGAGTCAGCTGGAGCTTGCACGGTGGGTAGGAACCAGCAAGGGGCAGGGGGGTCTGACTGTCTGCACAGTGCAGTCCTGAGCAAGGGGGCTCAGACCAGGAGAGGTTCACCCCACTGTCCCTGCCTGGCCTGCCAACAGCAGCCATAAGCCCCAGGGATATCCTGGTCTTGGCCACCAGAACCTTTCCTATGGCAAAGGTGGGGTTTGGGTGGTTTGCACTCAGGCTGAGCTCTGCCCAGCTGTGCAGCTTCCTGCGTGTGACCTCCACTACCCATGGAGCCTCTTCCATAACTTGTTATCCCAGGGAACCCTCTGCCCTGGTATCCTATCTTGTGCTTGCTGTCCCATGACAGCTTAGCAGCATGCACAGCTCAGCAGGGCCTGTGTCATAAGCCACAAAGATAAATCCCATGGGTGTATAGTCTGGAAGAGATATCTGGAAACTTACTGTACTGGAATAAGAGGAAGAAGGAAATACTCTTGAGCCATAGTTTGTTCCTCATGTTGGTTCTGACTGGATATCCTGAGGGGAAAAAAAAACAAAACAAAACCAAAAACATGCACACCTTAAAAAACCCCAAGCAAACCATTAAAAGTTCATCTCTGCCATCTCTTGTAGGTTGAAGGTTGAGGTGGAATTAATTTTGCTTTCATTTAAACGTCTAAAAGTAAAGTGTCTAATTTAGACAAGTCATTTCAGCTCTCCTGCGTGTACCTACTCCATGGGTTAGGGAGAGGAACCAACAGCCCTGCTAACTGATGGTAAACAAGTCAGTGAAATCTCTGCTCCTTGCCAGCAGCATGTGCACAGAGAAGGCAGGAAAGTGACTGCAGCCACAGTCTATCCACACAACAGGAAGGCACTTGGGTTCAGCACTAACCCATTTTTTCATTGGTTTCCTGCAACTAGAAATGGCTTGCAACTAGGAGAAGTGACACTGCTGTGGCTTCAATAACTGTACAGCGAACTAGTCAGAGTCTGAATGTCCCTGTGGCTCTGTATAAGCAAGGCTTGTGGGAACTCATTGGTTTGTTCTACCCATGGTTAAATAAGCATGGAGTTCCTGGTTACGGCAAACCAGTCAAAAAAAAGCTTCCCGTATGGCACAGAAGAGAACGCTGGAATGATGAACAGTACTCACTGCAGGGGAGGGCTGTCCTGGTGCACTCTGCTGAAGAGAACCTACAAAGAGAAGGACTGCAGGATGTTTACAACAATATAAGGAAACAGCATCACATACAAATGACTGCTCAACCCACAGCCTCCACTCCAAGACCTCAAGCCACATAACACACTAAGGATGTGTTTTCACAGCATTTAACATTTACAGAAACACAGAGATGTGCACAGAAAGACTTCAACCGAGCTCCCTGCAGAGGTCTGGGAGTCCTTCCCCTCGGGCTGCTCCCAGTCCCTTCACTTCCCAGTCTGCGTCGACACTGACACCGGGGGTGCGGTGACCCAGGTATGGGAGCAGGTCCTGGGGCGCCTGTAGCTCCCCGGCACCAGCAGCAAGCACGCAGAGCAGCACACAGAGAATGCCAGAGAGGCCTCTCCCACCCGCAGAACATTTGTGGTGTTTAAAAATTTCCCAGGGTTACTCAAATAACGAAAGCAAAATAAATTTAGCAGCCACCAGAAAGCCCCTGCAGCCCCACACAGGCTCAGAGCCCTGTTCTATGGCACCGGTGTCCAGATGAGATCAGCAGGGCTCCCAGGAGGTGCCACGAACACCTCATGGCTGCAGCGCTGCGGC